ATTACGTTAAACTTATGTTGTAGTCACCCAACCATTTTTGTTTTCATGTAAAATCTGGCCATCATTGTTATTGTCATTATTTTAATGTTTCTGCTGTTGTTGTATTTATTTAAAAAAAAATAACAACTGATTTTATTATATTTTGTGTATGTATGTATTTATTTATTTATTTATTTAGGGTTGTTAAAACTTTTGAATGTTAGAATAGGGGTCCTCTGGAAAAAAGGTTGGGAACCACTGGGTTAGGTGATAGAAAATAACATTAACCTGATATAAAAACAATGGAAGTATATGAAACGTCCTCACTAATGTAGTGAAACAAATGTTTGTGTGTTCATATGTTTGTGTCCAGTTGCAGTGATTCCTCTTGTAGGCTTGGAACCTAAAACAAATTAACAAAATGAACACATTCAGTAGTGTGTTTAAATCTTAGTGTTATTTGCATCACTACACACATCTTTTTTTTTTCTTTTTTTTATAAATAATAAAAGTTCTTTGTGCCCTGTAGTTCACAGCAGTAATTTTGCACATTGCAAACTCATGGTTTTACTGACACTTGCAGTGTGTTGTAGCCTGTATTATTGTAATGTTGTACTCTCCTCTTTTGAGAAGAAGAGGCACATAGACTTTGTAAAGCAGAGCAATGCATTAAGTGTTTTCCCTTCTACACTGTTTCATTCATCAGTGTCACACACACTCAGGGTTTATAAATCTAAATGCACTGACGCATGCTGCTGTCTCCAGCCGCCTGTGACTCTCTATGGGAGAACGTGTGTATATTAGCCATGGCAAATATTGTCTTCCCATTGAATTCAGCATGCATACGCAGCGTAAAATTGTCTGCATATGCACTGAATACCTGGTTGGCCAGAATTAAATAATTCCAGAATTATTATGAAGGAATTTTCTTTATTGATTTTTTTTTCTTACCCCAGTTTTGAATTATGCTTTACATTGTGTTTTAGTTGAAGTTTTGAGTTGAGCATTAACTAATGTTAACAAATGAGACCTTACTCTAAAGTGTTTTAATGTCATTTTTCGATAATTTGTCCAGAATTAGAGGTATTACTGTCCCGTCTCAAATTTCTTAAAACATCTGAAAAACATCCTATCTTACACCCACAGACATCATTTCACATAAAACAACTGCTGCTCCCAACTTTACGAACCAGCAGCTCGACTAGTTCTAAGCTCTGGATGTGAGAGTTCTAGAACATCATGAGCAGTAGTGTAATTCTCTGATCTATGATGCAGAAACCTGAGCGAGGTGAGATGGGATCAGTCCGTCAGGTGTGGATGTCCCACTGTTCTGTGACAGAGACAGAGTGCCTGTTCTGGAGCCGTTCAGCCTCGCAGAACGTGTGATGGCTCTCAGACAGTCTGGAGGGAGCATTTGAATTTTACACCCAGAAAGAAGCAGCCTATCATTAAAAAAACGTTCATTTCTGTTTCAGGCAGACTTACAGGTAATCAATCACCTCGTCACTGTGATTTTCGTCCTCTAATATTTGGTCTCATTTTGAACCGTTCAATTGAATTCTTTCTAATTAAAGTTGTTTCTGAGTTGAAGAGAAAGGAAAATGTCTTGTTTTATGATTAAGCTACATTTTGTTCTCTCTCCACTTCAGGTACAGTTCACTTTATATTTCTGGATCATATTGCACATGGCCAAAAGTATGTGGGCACTTAAACATCACACCTATATGTGCTTATGGAACATTTAATTTCAACACCATACACTCTTAAGAATAAAGGTTCTTTCTTGGCATCTATGGTTCCATGAAGAACCTTTACATTGGACAAAGGGATCTTTATCATAGAAAAAGGTTTTTCAGATTATTACAATGGTATTGTTTTTTTTCCCCTTAATTAACAAGTTTGTTTGCCCATATAATCTTTAGGAAATTACGTTTAACTTATTTGGCTTGCTGTCCACTGATGAGGGGCTCGATGAAGCAGAGCTCTGATGGTGACCGTGATTTCACCAAGTACAACATGTTCACCAAGTACAACATCCTTGTTGATCCTGGAACAACATTCCAATTAACCAATCAGAATTGAGGGATAACTTTTCAGGAAATGTCTGTTTTAGGCTTGCAATCAGGGTTAGGTGCTTCTACACCCTTGTTAATCAGCTATCATTTTACACTGATTTTAGGAATAAATTATGGGTAGGGTTAGGTTTAGGGGTAGGGATTGGGTTTAGTCTATATTTTTGGACAGTAATGTTGATCCAGGATCAACAAAAGATGTTGATCCAGGAACATGTCTTACTTGGCAAAATCACGGCGACCGAGCTCTTCGAGCTCTGATATACCCCCACAGAGACTTAATGTAGGATATGATTACAAAGGGCAAGGTACCTAAGATGAATGTGGAGATTGGGGAGGTGGAGGGATGCTGGAATAGCTGAGACTGGAGAGAGGTAAGCAGCTGCTTATATACTCTGGCTGTTGATTGAAAGATTAGATGGGCTCGCTCCTCCCTAACTTACGTCTAGGAACTTCGTTTAAAATGTTCAAACATGTCATTTCTAAGAACTTTTCACTGAAATTTTCTTTTGGGAACCAAAAATGGTTCTTCTTTGGCATTGCTGCAAAGCCAACCTTTATTTTTTAATAGTATAGGTATTACGGAAAGGCTTTCCACTAGATAATCAACACATTGCAATACAATGCTTTTCTTCCTGTATAACGTGGTGAAAATGTCCAAGTACTTTTTTGTAACATTTAAGTCTATGTCTAAGCACCTCTCATTGTTTTTTACACAAATCAAAGTGAGTTCAGTATACAGTACAAGGTGCGAAATCTTAACATAAAAGTCATTTAGTGCTACATTTCTGTCAACTTCAGTTGGTAAGTTTCACACCTAAAGCACAGAGAAATATTGTGGGAGCTTTCTTTGTAACATAAGATATCATTTTCAGTCTTTTTTCAACAAAAATAATCTCCCTCCCCATATTTCACATTATAGAAATGTGAAATATTTTTACAGAAAGTCAACTGTCAGAAAGTGAGTAAAACTGTGACTTTTAAGAATTTAGCCTTTTCACATTAGTCTCTAAGTTCAAACTACATTCATCCATTGTACTTTAAATTAATCTGCATTGTTACCTGTTATACTTCACTTTGAGATATGATTGACAGAGAACAAAATCTAAATTGTGCAGAATAATGCAGGTTGACAAATGTTCCTCTTTTTAATCTATTAACTGTTTGCAGAGGAAACTTTATAGTCTTTTTTTTTATTTTTTTAAAAATCTAAGTTTAATAGAAACTTTTCACAAAGAGAAAAAGAGTGATAGAGAAGATGGACTGTTACTGTAATTTTTGCTTATTGATGTTTTTCTCAAAACTCTTCCTGCTTTTCCAAACTCTAGAAGAACTTATTGACGGAGCTTAGATGATGCTGACCTTCTTAATGTTCTTTGTCTTTAGAACTTTTCTTCCTTCTAATTTTTTTCTAATACAGCATCATTAAAGAAACATGCTTAATGATGATCCAGCACAGAATAGTCTCAAATCTAATAAAACCCTTCTCATCTCTCTCTCTCTCTCTCTCTCTCTCTCTCTCTCTCTTATGAATTATGAGAACTCAGGGTATTAAAATGTGGAGGATGCATGAAATCAGATGCTGGGATGAACTTTGTGTCTGGTAAAATTCATCACCCATAAATGTAAAACACTAAAACCTCAAACTCTTAGATGTCGTTGAATATATGTATAAGAAGATTAATAAAATAATAAGAACTTAAATCATTATTTCATTTTCACACAAACACTTATTAAACAGATTTTTCATTATTTCCATAATATTTTATCTACTCAAGGCTGTAATTTCTATCCATTAAATTGTGCATTTATCAATGAGCATTATTCATGCAACCAATCATGTGCAAGCATAGGTGGGATTTCTGTTTTAATTGGTTGGATTTCAGTGTAATGATCTATTGATGAGTCTATGAATACTGGAGGAGAAAGATCAATGGAGCAGAAATGACGCAGGGAATCCTAGTCTGGAATGATTGATAGCACTCAGCTAACATGTTTCTGACTTCACAGTACTTGCATTTAATAAATTATTGTATTAGAAATGAAGGGCTGCCCCTTTTCACATTTATGCACAAACATCGATTAATAAGTAAACTAAAGAGAAATCCATCTGATCTGTGTGTGTGTGTGTGTGTGTAGTGAGGCATCCAATTGTGATGAAAAATTTGAATGTTAAGTACATCGACAAGACATTGAGTGAATTGCAGTTTAAAATGTTTTTGTAAAGTGACTATCAGATATCTTTCACAGATATCTTCCACATTTGTGTTTGAAAATGTATCACACAGTTGAATAAGTTCCATCTATTACAATACTGACAATAAACAAAGCTTTTACTAATGCTTGATTCAACTTCAGTTGATTTCTAAATTTTAGAAGTTTGCGCTAGATAACTGAACTACTTGTTAACGTTCAAATGTTAAATATAGGCTATATAAAAAGTAGTTTAATAATAACTTTATATATAAAATCTATTTTAACTTGTGTATCATGTAATTTTTTCACTTTCATTCTGATGCACTGAACAGCTTTACATGACTCCAGATTTGTGTATGAATCTGACTGGTTCCTTACAAACATTGTGATATTTATCTTGTAACATTATTATGAACATTCATGGATGGTTGGTGAAGATGAATCTAGGAGAAAGAAACTCATACAGGTTTGGAACAAGTGGAGGGTGAGTAAATGATGACAGAATTTTCATTCTAAGTGAACTAATCATTTTAGAAATTTGATCAGTATAATGTACAGAAGACTTAATTTATAGTATTATTATTATTAAATATGTAGCAAAATCTTCACACATGGTTACAGAAGGATGATTTAACAAATTGTAAGATTAATTATTTAAAATAAAAATAAAAAATATAAAAAAGCACTCTGGGATTGTTACCATTTTAATTAATAATTTTTTTTTAAATAAAATAATTGTCTTTCAGAGTGTTTTTGTCTTTTTGTATATACCTGAAAGTTACTCATTAGAATCTCACGATGACCTGACAGGTGCGTTTATTCTTCCACTGCAATTTATTAGATATGGATCCTATTTTAACTTTCTCTGGAGCCACTATGTACAGAATTAATTTTAAGGAGACATTAAAACTATCAACCGCTTGTGTTAATTTCTGTTGTTCCATCCGTTGTGGTGCTTTCTGATGTTGTGGTCTCCGTTGTTGTACTTTATGAAGTTGTGGTACCGGTGGGGGTGCTTTCTGTCATTGTAGTGCTTTCCGATGATGTTATCTCAGTTGTGGTGCTTCCTGTTGTTGTACTGTCTACTGTTGTATTTTCTGAAGTTGCGGTTCCGGTGGTGGTACTTTCTGTTGTTGTGGTGCCAGTGGTTGTACTTTCTGTTGTTGTCTCCATTATGGTGCTTTCTGTCATGATATAATAGTAAAACATTAAACAACGTTTGTTTAGCATTTTTAATACATAAAATGCAGCACTTATTGCTTAAAAGAAAAAAAAAAGAAAAACTACAAACAAAAATAAAAACATTGACACTGCAGCTTCACACAGCAATGAATACTGATATCATTATACTAAAAAAATATTTTTAAAAAACTTTTCTTGACTTGTGTTTTGAAAATCTGAAAGATTGAAGCCTGTCTAATTTAAATTGGTTGACAGTTCCAAATGTTGGGGTATAGTGGCTTAAAGAAGCACCACAGATTCACTTAGGATTTATTGTATAGTTTGCCAAAATAACTATGATTTTGAACATATTAACATAAAAATCAATCCTTTCTTGAACTGGCAACCAGTATAATTGTATTAAAACTATTAATATGGTATCTCCTTCTTCATTTCATTAGTACGTTGACTGCTGCAGTTTGTATCAATTGTAGCTTAGCTACATATAGCATATGTGTATATGTGATATAGCATTACAGTAATCGTGATGAGCAAAAACAATAAATGAAGTTTTTGTCACTTGATTAATGCGAGATTTAAAACTCAAATCATAGTCCATAATTACACCTAGTTTTTTTTACTTCTATCTTAGTTTGTAGAATAAAGGTGCATAATCCAGCTTCTATCCTTCCTCATTCATGCTCAGTGCCCTCAATAAGAGTTTCAGTTTTATCTTCATGCAACAGTGTCTCTGAAATCAACTGAAATGTATAATTGTATATCATCAGCATAAAAATGTTAATTCATCCCATGTTTCTGAGTTATACTGACCAGAATTATAACGTATAATGAAAATAAAAGTAGCCAAAGAATTGATTCTTCAGAAACACCATACAGTATTTAATATTTCTTTGATACATAGTCACCTATATTAATAAATTATTACCTTTCTGCAATATATGTCTTGAACCGATTTAGAATATTACCGGAGAGACCAATTTCCAGTCTATTAAGTAAAATTAAATGATCATGTGTCAAATGCTGCATTTAGGTCCAAGAGGACTAAGACTGATGCATTGCTCATATTGGTTTTTATCTCAAATGATTTACTGCCTTAAATTTGTTTAGTTACTTAAAAAGTATATGTTAGAAATAGGTCTGAGAATATTACAGAGAAAGCAATGGAGTTTTTTTTTTACCATAATTGTCAGCTGTAAAATTTAAAGCACTGGAGAAACGTCTCAGGTTACTTATGTAACCATGGTTCCCTGAGTAGGGAACGAGACACTGCGTCCTCTAGGGGTCGCTATGGGGAACGCCTCGTCGTGACCCGTGTCTGAAGCATACATTGAAAAAACACCAACAACACGTTGGCCGGCGAAAGCCATGACGTCACTACCGGCGCGACTATAGTATAAATAGGCGCCGGGAGAACACATCATCCACTTCTTCGTCTGAAGCTTGCGTCCGCAGCATGGCAAGATAAACTAGAGGACGCAGTGTCTCGTTCCCTACTCAGGGAACCATGGTTACATAAGTAACCTGAGACGTTCCCTTTCATGGGAACTTCGAACTGCGTCCTCTAGGGGTCGCTATGGGGTACGGTATACCCACGCTGTCATGCTGAGTGGAGTGCATGCCAGAAACCATGGCGAGCACTAAGTACCAACGCTACCATATTGCCATGTGAGTTGCCCCTGGGACGTTAGACGGCTGTCAGTAACGTTATTCCCTACGGCCAAAGGCCTAGCCAACATACCCCAAAATACTTACCTGTTAGGGCCAGACTCCTGGGCCCGGGGTAGAGCTCAAGGCTTGGAATCAGGAATAGATTCCTTTAAGGGAATACGACCAAGAGCCTAGAATCATACTAGTCTTGGCCTGTCACACAGGGGCTACCGCACGTTTCTCTTTGTATGTGCTGAAGGAACTGTCTCAACAGACCCCTAGTAGCAACACCCTGTTAAAGCAGGTATCCAGAGGATACATAGGAGGAGTGGTGCCCAAGGCGAAACCGGGGTTTTAAACCACTCAGAAAGAGCACGAAGCTGTATGCGTAGCTCTTACCGTACAGGATTTTAGAAAAGTGGACAAAGCATAACGTGCACACTTACCACTTATGTGGATTTTAGAAAAGTGGGCAAAGCATAACGTGCACACCCATAGAACCAACCAAAAACATCATAGGTCCAGAAGGAGACTGTTATGCAGGAAGCTTCCACCTAACCTCGGTCAGGTGGAGAGATGGTGGTTACAGGGGAATTTAGGGAGGGGAAGAAAAAGGGCAGATGTTAAATCCCCCGAGGGAAACGAGTAGATACTCACGTATCACTCTGATCCGGACAAAAGCGGTGACGCCTTGTCTGGATCACATCCCTTAGGTCTTGCCTACCTCCCTTTGACCCACGATTCTTCCTACCCCTACCCGCAGGCGGGGGAGGAGCGCGAGTCGCAACACTAGCCTTCTGTGCTCTCCTTGGAAAAAACGCTCGCAGTGCACGCTGATTGCCCCCTCGGAGACATCGCGTGCGTGCTCTTCGCCCAAACAAACAACGCACAGATCGTGTGTGTCATCGGGTGTCAAATAGCGATGACACGGATGCACACATCTTCTAAACGCTTTGCTAGTGCTCGCCATAATGAGATGAATAGAGATCGCTCTTACCACAGAAATGCACGCTTCAAACAAAACAGTCAGTGAAGACGAAGAAGAGGATGATTTGTTCTCCCGGCACCTATTTATACTATAGTCGCGCCGGTAGTGACGTCATGGCTTTCGCCGGCCAACGTGTTGTTGGTGTTTTTTTCAATGTATGCTTCAGACACGGGTCACAACGAGGCGTTCCCCATAGCGACCCCTAGAGGACGCAGTTCGAAGTTCCCATGAAAGGGAACTTCCTTGCTTCAGAGAGCCGTTAACTATATTAATTAAGGACTCAGTCATTTAAACAACATACTTTAGGTATAGGGTCAAGATAGGAATATTACTGGGAAATAGTTTGCAAAAGATTCTGTTTATTAGCTCTCCTGAACACGTCCATTTAATGCTGTGGATATATTATTGATTCTTCTATAGAAATGTTATCAGTATAATGTACAGAATACTTAATTTGTATTATTATTATTATTATGATTATTCAATATGCAGCAACATTTTAACACGTTTACAGAAGGATGATTAAAAAAATTATAAGATTAATTATTTAAATAACATAAATAGTTGAAAAAAGCACTCTGGGATTGTTACCATTTCCATTAATACGTTTATTTATTTATTTATTTTTAATGAAATAATTACCTTTCAGAGTGCACTGTTTTTATATATACCTGAATTCCATTTATTATAATGTCACGATCACCTGACATGTGCATTTATTCTTCCCCTGCAAACCTGATATTTTTCTTAAATATTAATCTGAGATTATTACAAAGAAAACAATCCTTTTTTTTCATAAGTGGAGGCTCAACAACAGTACATTTAAAATAATTAGGAAAAAATCCTGTTTACTGAGAGAAATTCAGGGTCAAGATGGGAACATCTCTGAGAATTAATTTGCAGAAGATACTCTTTATTAACTGTCCTACACATTTCCATTTTATGCTGTAGATATATTCTTGATTCTTCTACAGATATATTATCAGTGTAATCAATTGAAGACCTAAACTGTATTTTCTTATAAACATGCAGTAGAATCCTCAAACATTTTTACAGAGGGCTGATTTAACTAATTGTAAGGGTGGTTATTAAAAGACAATCAATAGTATAAAAAAGCACTCTGTGATTGTTACCATTTTCATTAATATATTTTTAAATAAAATTATTGTCTTTCAGAGTGCATTGTTTTTATATATGTTTATTTGTATAATGCTATTCAATAGAATCTCGCTATGAACTAACAGGTGCGTTTATTTCTTCAGGGCAATTTATTAGATATGGATCTTATTTGAATTTTATCTAGAGCCACGGTATACAGAAAAATATTTTAAAAGACATTAAAACTATCAACCTATTGAGGGAATTTTTGTTGTTGTCTCAGTTGTGGTGCTTTCTGTTGTTGTAGTTTCCATTGTTGTACTTTCTGTACTGGCTGAGGTGCTTTCTGTTGTTGTGGTCTGTGTTGTGGTCTCGGTTGTTGTGCTTTCCGGTGTTGTGGTACCTGTAGTGGTGCTTTCTGGTGTTGTAGTGTCTGTTGTGGTCTCGGTTGTGATCTCTGTCGTTGTGCTTTCTGGTGTTGTTGTACTTGTGGTGGTGCTTTCCGGTGTTGTGGTACCTGTGGTGGTGCTTTCTGTTGTTGTAGTGTCTGTTGTGGTCTCGGTTGTGGTGCTTTCTGTTGTTGTGGTCTCGGATATTGTGCTTTCTGGTGTTGTGGTACCTGTGGTGGTGCTTTCTGTTGTAGTGCTTTCTGTTGTTGTTGTCTCTGTTGTCATACTTTCTGAAGTGGTGGTGCCAGTGGTGGTACTTTCTGTCATTGTGGTGCTTTCTGGAGTTGTGGTACCGGTTGTGGTGCTTTCTGTTGTTGTCATCTCTGTTGTGGTCATGGTTGTTGTGCTTTCTGGTGTTGTAGCACCCGTGGTGGTGCTTTCTGTTGTTGTAGTGTCTGTTGTCGAGCTTTCTGTAGTCGTGGTTTCCATTGTTGTAATTTCTGAAGTTGTAATACCAGTGGTGGTACTTTCTGTTGTTGTGGTCTCTGTTGTGGTCTCCGTCGTTGTGCTTTCTGGTGTTGTGGTACCTGTGGTCGTGCTTTCTGTTGTTGTAGTGTCTGTTGTGGT